TTAGGGAAAAAAAAAGTGCTCCGCCGGAAAGGGGTGCGTTTCCCACTTGTCTCTTTATCGTGTTTATCTCTCGCCCTGCCTAGCTGTCTGGAGTAAGGAAATCCCTCAGGATCTTCAGGGCACAGTAGATAGATGGCGACGATTGCTTCGAATTTGTTTCGCAGCATTAGAGGGTTGGCTCCTCTCCTTCAGGAGCGATTTCGATTTCATGCCGTCCCCAGAGCGAGGTTTTCAATCTCAATATGGTATCGCAAACCCTACCATACTGGCATCCTTGAAACTCGCGGAAATCGCCTGCACTAGCAATCCCATGCCAGGATTCTCAAGATCGGCATGTCTGGAGAGTTGCCACCGATCCCGGTATCTCGCCTGGGCATGAGGGCAGCCAGCAGGGACTGTGCAACGAGTTGGGTTTTATGAGTGGTTTTGCGTAGTGGCATTGTAGGCTGAGGGCGAACAAGGCCTACCTTGCATAAGGTTACAATCCCTCAATGTCCGGACGATGCCCTACTACCGTAATTCCTGTAGAATGCTTATCACTCCTGTACGTTACCTCGCATCTTTCGAATTACATTGCAGTACGTTACATCTGGCTCATTTTTATCTTCAATCACTGCTCTCAGCTCCAATTTTATTTCCACCGCATGAAACCAGTAGTGCTCAGCGCTGAAGCTGTGGAAGTACTCAATCGCCACATACAACCCAATCAAGACATTGGCAGCGTAGCCATCGACTCTGGACGACAACACGTCGACATTAAAGCACACTGCAGCACATTACAGTACAGAACCTCACCTGAGAATAGGTTATGACATGGTGTTTTTTACACTGCACTACATTACATGAACATTGCATTAACGACATTCCGATTAACGACATTCCGGACACACTGCGTTACATGTTGCTACATTCCATTCCATTCCTGTGCACTTCATTCCATTGCTTTGCACCGTCACAGCACGTGCTGTAGACCCTGCAGTGCTGTCGTCGACGTGCCAAGTGGGTGACAAAAAGGCACAGCACGTCATGTCAACCACAATTACACTACACTGCGTTGCGTTATACCTGTGGCATCACAGTTCGTGGCAGTACGTGATTCTCGTACACTACACGCACCACATACATTGCCTAGTTATCATACATCATACATGCCTCGATGGACAGATACACAGATACGTACACGCATCCACCTTGCGATCATCCACCAATCCATCCATCCCGCCGTCCATCCATCCATACACTACCACACACGCTGACATACCTACATACCTACTTGCTTGTGTACGGAGATGAATGTGTGTGGGTGGCTTGATGTTGATGGGTGGAAGCACGGATTCATACACGTGTAGTTTTTATTATGTTTCTAAGCCTGTCAGGATACGGTCTCTGTCAACTGTCGCGGCTTCATCCGACGCTGCACGCAACATGATCCAGGCCAGGGGGCATACACCTTGACCCTTGACCCGGGATGTTTGAGCTGATGAGGGAGCATCAGGATCTGGGTCTTCATGGCCACAAGAGTCCAAGTCCCTGCTGTTGCTGCCAGGCAAGCGCCTCAGTGCCACTGAGCTCCTGAATGAAGACTTCGTGTCCAAAGCTCAGCATGAGGAGTGCAGATGGAAGTCTTTGACTTGCACAGATGTGCTTGGAAGTCCTTCTTTGGGATCGTGCTTCTTGTTGTGGCTCAGCCCTACTCTGAGTCGGTGTTCTTACCATAGCAGGCTTTCTGTGCCGTAGCACACGCGTGCTCATCCGATGTGCTTCAAGTTGGAACGGGATCAGCATCTGTAGCTTAGGCTTGTCGCAGATGAGGAGGGAGGCCACAAAAAGAAGGAGGCCGGCAGAAGCACGTTAGTGTACGAAAGACATGCCGGAGGATCAAGGCTCAGCTTCAGAACGAGAGCACGGCGGGATGCTAATTCTCTGAACTAGATGCACCTTAGGGGAGGTTTGTACCGGGAAGGGAAAGCCAGCTGATCTGCAGGAAGCCTCCGCTGCTGCTCAGCCAGCCCCCGCTTGCGAGCGGATAGAAGAGGAAACAGCGATGCTCCTGTTGTTGTGATTTCGTTCGTTTCAATCGTGTGTCCATGTAACTGAAGTGCTCACACATGCAAGTTTCATTGTCCTTTGGAAGACTCCTCAGGAGGATGCAGAGGAGCTCCTTCCGGTAGGATGGGAGCGGCACTATGACCCCAACTGGTCGGCCTGGTGCTTTGGCCGCGCTGGGATTTTTTTCCAGGATGCATACAATGGCTGCTGCTGCTGCTGCTGCTGCTGCTGCTGCTGCTGCTACGACGACGACCACTCTGACAAATCATTTCCACCACCGCCACCTCCTAGTACCTTCGGTGAGTGACACAAGCGGTGGCGGCGGTGGTGGTGGGGGTGCAGAGGCTGTGGTTATCATGCCTGATAGCCAACATGCTTCATCACGCGACTCAATAAGCAGGTATTACTGGCATCGCAACAGCGGGCGATCGCAGTGGGTCCGGCCCAACGATGACGAAGCAGACGTCGAGGAGGCACCTCTTCGATGCAGAAGTTCCCATGCTGAAAACCCTGGAACTGTTAGCGATTTGTTGGATACATCACGGACAGCACGCTGCAAAGAAGGCAAACTGCGAGCCGCGTTCAGCCGCAGGTATTTCTTCCGCAGTACAGAGGGTCGAGGGGGTAGCAGCAGGGTCGAGCCAGTGCACTGGAGGAAAGCACCTCGCAGCGCAGTGGCAAGAGTGGTAAAAGTGGCAAAAGCTCTCAAGGCTCCTCGGGCAGCATTTCCAAGGTCGACCCCATGTTTCTGCACGCTGTCCTAGCCGGTTTCACAAGGGCTTCCTAAGATTTCTTTTCAAACTCCTCTAGTAGTCGATGGCCCTATGCATACTGTTGCAACTTTGCTGAAATTGCCGAGGACCGGGACTTCCGCACACTTTGCCAGGGTTCGTGAGTGACGAATGCTGAGGCATGTGCAAACCGCCCGGTGCAGTAGATGCAGTAAGGAGCTATCTCGAAGTTGGCAGTTGCACAACTCCTGCACATTGCTTTTTTTTTTTTTGTGAAGATGAGCTTCAAGAAACTCATGGGTCCTCCAAGAACTGCGAAGTTTGCACAAAAGCCTTGGCGAATGCCTAGATGCCCAAATCCGCTCATTCAGAATTTGTTGCTGCTGCTCTTGCAGCCATCGGCCTAGGGTCCCACACAACAACTGCACAGTACAGACACGATGTGCACCTTGAGCTATCTTGTCGGAAGACTGTCTGCGTAGCTGTTAGTGCCCCTTGCTATAAGCTTCGGTGTATCCAATGAAACAGCTGCGAAGAGAGTGGGAGACGGCAGGTTCAGTCGTCCGTTAAAGGCTGTGTTGATGAGCTGTCGGCTTTAATCCTCTTGCGTCCTGCGACCTGCACACTCCTGACATCTTCTGTTCAGTGTCAGCGCACATATCCAGAAGGCTTTCTGCTGTCGAGTTTGGCTGTCGATACGCTTGGCATCGCATAGAACCAGTGGTCGAAAGGTGCAACTTTGTACGTATGGCCCTTACCGGAAATGAAATCTGCACTCTGCTCTGAATCGTGCTCCTGCTCATGAACCAGCCCTGGGCATACACCGACAAACCGCCTTAGGCGACGTTTCACAACTCAGCCAGCAGGGAGGGAGTTTTGCTGGTGGCACGACTGGGTCATCTGTTTGGATGTGTAGATATAGTTAATCTAGTCATTTGCCGCTTCTGCTAATTCACACAGAGCAGTGCGCATGGCTGTCCTCATTCATATGAACGTATGTCAGCTTTGAATAAATCTTGCACCATTTCAGGTTGCCGCAGCTTGTATTCCGTAGGAGACTCATGCTCGACCTCCACCTTGCTCCGAGCCTTGCCATCACGACCGCGAAGCGAGACATGACAAGAAATGGACGCTGCGATCCATGAGACGAGGTAAGAAAGACTATTACCATGGGTTTAGGACCCCGTGTGTGTTTTTTAGGGCTCATGATGCGACGTCAGGATTCATGCAGCAGTCTCTCGGAACGGAGAAGCAGCGGCCGAAGCAAAAGAAGCTCCAACCGTTACGCTGTGACTGCGGCAGCAGAATCGAGTCTTTGCTCAGGTTGCCCTTCCACTAGTTGCATGCGAGCAATGTAAAAACGATATCCTTGCATTGGTCGTCGTGAGCGCAGACGGCCCATACCACGTATTGACGGTCCATGTGAACAAGGGGGCTGCCATTGGCATGGGCTCAGCGAAGTCTCAGTCAGAATATGTCTTGCGACGATTCATCGTGAAGCAGCTCGCATGACTGGGCTTCGCGAGCGTCCAAATAGAGCAGGATTGCACATGCACGAGGCCATCCAGAAGGCAGTATACAATATCTCAGTACATAGCAAGCGGTCAAGTAGCCAGTCAATCCAAAAGACCCCCTCCTCAACACTGAAAACATGCCTAAGTGTTGACGCACTCGCACCTTTCTGGTCCACGTTTTGGCTTTCTGATCCGTTAGCCGGGGACTGCTTCCTGGGCATGTGGCTGCAGGCTGCTTTTCGTGTGTCGTATGATACGTTTGCATGCGAAACCCTGGTCCCACATGCCTTGTAAGACATTCATTCAGAGGAAGCTTTCTGTTGTCAACCGGGCTCTTTACATGTCAGGTTCATACCTACCCCTGCGGCTTTCTAGCTACGATTCTGGAGACCACGGACAATCCCTGAGTTGATTCAAGAGTTCTTTCTTGCTTGAGTTTCTGCCATGGGCTCCGGTGCGTCTGCTGGTGCATCCACGCCGACATTGCCTTGGCCGGAGGGTGCAACGGCCGTTCTGCGCCCAGGCGCTGGGTGGGCCTGGGGCGGGGTATGGATGATTCGTATGGTGTGCTCTACGGGAGCCGATTGCAATACACTTGGCTTCTCCAGAGACTGCTCTACCCTGCAATGCAGAAAGCTTCTCAATGATGGGCTGTAGTGCAAGCTCCATAAGCATGTGCTAAGTCATTGGCCCTGACATTTTCAGATGGCACGCTGCCGGACGGACTGAAGACCAGTGGCCCGGTGCCATCGACTGAAAGTGGTGTCCCTTTCTGGAGGCTCCAAGCCGCATCATTCAATGAGTGGATGTTACAATTGGTTGTGGGTCGACTTTTCCGTTCTTTGTCTCTTTCTTTCCTTCAAACTCTGCGTGAGCGAACGAATGGACCGCCGAACTTGGTACAGTGCTGAACTTGGAGGTGCTCTCGGACAGGGCGATTGCCGTTCGGCAGTGTTCGGGGTTGGTATGTGTTGGTAGTGGGCTTCGGAGCTGCAGTGCCCCGGTGTCGTTGCTATACCCACGTGCTTCAGGTGAACATGCAGAGGTCATTGTCATGCTCGTCCGCGTCAAACAACGAAAATGCTTCGCCCGGCCATTGTAAGTGTTGGTTTCTGCCCTTTGATCGGGAGGCTTGGAGGCGCTGGCAAGGGCCGGCTTCGCGTGATCGAAGATACCGCGGGGCTGCTTGAGCTGAAGGCAGGTCAAGCGACCCGTACTGTAGTCGTTACCACTTTTACTCTGCTACTTTCTATTGCATTCTTACAATTGTCAGAAGAACGGCTGTGATATTTCGCAGATGTGTTGTCATCTCCTTTCTGCCGTTCTCACTGCTTCTTTGTGATTTCAGGAGAACTTCACGATTGCCGTTTGCTTCCGGCCTGGTGCCGGTGATGCGCAGGGCTGGGACAGTCTTCTCTTAGGTCATGCGCCCCAGCTTTCCATGAGAAAGTCAGGAACTTTAGAGTGGGAGATTGGGCGCAAGTTGATGGAAGGGACCTCGGGAATGTGGGACTGAAGGTTGTCACAATATTTTTTCACGACAGCTGAATTCGGAACGATGTAGGCTTTCCCCACCGAGGACAACAAGCATTGGCTGGCTGTGCCAGGCGACGACAAGACCAAAGTTTGCTGCTTCGACGCCTATAATGCAGCCTGGGGCTGAACCAAATGTGAAAAAGGTTTGGACACAGGATATGGTCTTCCTTGGAAGGACAAGTAGCAGTCATATCCCCACATCTGAAGACAACGACAAGCTCGATCCCCAAAGCATTCGCCATGGGCCTGGATACGCAGAGCTTGTTCGTGCTTCTGTGATGGAGTGCTGCGCACTCATCCAACGATAGAAAATTCTGAATAGACCTTTGCTATGATTTCCGTGAAGGTGGCGCCAGCACAGCTCAGGTTGCATGGATGGCGATAGTTCCTTGAACTTGAACGCGGACTTCTTGGACCAGGCGTTATCCGGGATTACATGTGTCAGACAGAACCGAGCTTGGAAGTGATGACTACGCTCTTTAACTGATAAGCATTTGCACTTGTTGCTGCCCTCCAACATCCAAAAGGCACAAGACAGCCTTGTTGGTGACGACGACGATGCTGATAAGGCTGATGGCAATGACAGCGATATTAATGTTGATCGCTGCTGCTGTTTCTGATGATGACGTCGACGCCTTCATAGCTTTCGTAGCAACCACATCAGCATGCCAAGCTTATTCCGTCGAACTCGGCAGGGCTGGATCCAACTCTTTCTGCGGTCCGTGGAGGGTGGGACTTCCGTCTTCGGTATGGACCAGGCGTCTCATCCCTGTTCAGTGAGTCGTTTGATAACAAGCGTACTTGCATGGTACCTTCAAGGGCCAATCCGAGGCTTCTTCTGGGACATAGACTTTCGGACTTCTTCATGGCCCTGCATTTGCAGCAAACCTTGTTCCGTAGAATCGTAGAATGGATGTCGGTGAATGGCGGGCCGTTGGCGCCGATGCTGGACCGCGCATAGAAAAAAGTTTGCATGCACAGTCAGCGTGTTGAAGTTCCCAGCATTTCCCAGCACTAATTCTCGCACCCGCCCCGGCACCCTGAACCCTCAGTCGTCGTGACGCCTTGCATGCCTTGTGCGAGCCACGAGTAGAGCAAAGCATGCCGGCAACTATGAATGAACTTTGGATCTTTTGCCGAGGAGGGGCTCCTGGATTTGGGTACCTTTCCAACTTCACTGGTCGGCTCAAAGTTGCGAAACGCCGGCTGGGCCACCAATGAGGCAGTCGACCTGTGAACTATGACACAAGACACACTTGCCTCATCTTCCCACTCTCTGTTGCAAGTCGCAGTCGTCCCAGGTGTTGATGCTTTTGATTTGCCATGGTAGAACGATGACATTGCTTTTTCTACTTGTCACTCCGAACACTTCGTAGCACGCGAGGTCCAAAGCACAGCTCTTCCTTTGATACAGAGGGAGGGCTCGCGAGCACAGATGTAGTACTTGTATCAAAGCAAATCAACCCGATACCAGTTGAAAGGTCAGCAGTAAGGACCTACCAATGCTTCTCAGTCTTGGAGAGGCTTCCCTCGAGGCAGTGCTCGGAGCTCCAGTCGCTGGCTCATTTCAAAGTAGTACTGTGGATGACGCAGGTGGACATTGCGGCCATCGCCTTCTGGGATCGGACCCTGACCTGGGCGGAGCTGTCGCTGCGAGGGGCTTGGAGGGATTGGAGGGGCGTTCTGCTCAGTACTCGTACCTAAGCACAACTGACGGTGAGAACCATGGTCATGATCCAAATGACGGGGCGACGGCTGCATGGCAAGAGCAATGGACAGGGATGACGGAAAGGCGAAAGTCAGGAAGGAGAGTGTGTCTAAGGCCGACTCCGGCTACCGCCCCGGCGCCTCCACCAGCTCCAGACGCGCCAATTCCCAAGCGTATCTTTGGCCAGGCCCGGTTGCTCGCTATCCAGCCCTTTTGTTCCCCTTGTCCTCATAAGTGGGGTTGCTTGGTCCTGGACACTGGAAGCTGGTGCAGCCAATTGACAGACAGGTCACAGACCTCGCTGGCGAGCCACTCAAGGACCTGCCTGTGTTCATTTAAGCCGAGCGAGGCCCCGGCCGGACCCTTTACATCGATTGCACTCGGTGCTTGGATCATTCTCGTATTCGGAGCATGAAGTCGATAATGACGCACTGCCTGCTGCAAGGATGTCAGCATCAAGTGGAAGATGGGCGGCTGCGTCTCGGATGGTGAGGCCATCAACCACTTCCCGCCACTCCATGCCGCCCTGCCCTTCACAGACACGTACTTGGACTCGCTACACGGCCCCACCTGCAATCTGTAGACAATGTGGGCACCTGGCAGGGCAGTTTCGAGATGCTGGAGGAAGCAGAAACGGATGTGCCAGAGGACACGCCTCCCGTTTTAGTGGAAGTCGGTCTCGGGTCACCAGAAAAGTTGGGTCGTTGCTCGGCTCTTGATTATGGCTTGATGCTGGCTTGCTGAATGAACATGTGTTGAAATCTAGAAGCAGTCGGTGATAAACTCTTTAATAAGCTCAATCTCACCTGTGCTATTGGTTCTGCGAGGATGGAAGCCAAGCTTCTGCTTCTTCGGCCTCCTCCTGCGTCAGCTTCGAGTGCGACTGGGACTGGGTGCAAGGACAAGAGGGAGAGCTACTACTCGTAGCTAAGATGAATCTTCCACCAGTACGTACTACGGAGATCGAGGATGTACTCTTGCAGATCATAAGATTGTCAAGGAATGCAGTCGCACGCTCTCAGCTCGGAAAAGTTTCAAAGCTACCACTCTTGCGCCTTTCATAAGTCATCCTGAAGTTGTCGGTGTGTGAGACATGGAAGATGATGAGTTGGCAGGGCCTCATTCGTGCCTCTCCCCTCTCTCTCTCTCTCTCTCTCTCCCTCTCTGCCCGTGCGTATGTACAAGCGTGTGGATGGATGAGTCGATGGATGCATGGACAGGCGGATGGGCGGATGGATGGACGTATGGAAGGATGGATGGGTGGATGGCTGGATGTCGGGATGGCTGGATGGATGGATGCAGGATGAATGGATGGATGATTGCAGGGATGATTGGAGGGAAGGACGGATCCAAGCATGTACATCTATGTATGGTTTTCGTTCTTGGTCGCTGAGATATATATATATATATATACACACATCATTTTTTAAGCTTCCAATGGCGCGGACTGTGCGATGTCCCTCCCGTCGGCGACGCCGGCTATTTCCCGTCTGGCTGAAAACGCGAGCCACCACTCCCTATCACTAGCCACGTGTAAGATCTTGTTCTTAATATCCCTTTTGGTTCTTTTTCCTCAAAGAAATCGTAGTTAAATATGGTCTCGCAGTTGTTCATTCGCATCGTCACATATATATATATATATATTATGTATGCAGAAATGTACAGACGCTTTGCGGTATTCATATTTACTGTTATATATATATATACAGTTAATATGCATGCTCATGTTTATACATGCATGCATGCATGCGTACATGCACAAGGGCACAAAGAGCACACAAGGAAGCTGCTGATTGCCGCACAGTGTCAAGCTCTCACGAGGCGATGGTTTTGCTCCGACCTCCATGCGCGTCTCCGTGGCTTCCGAGCAGTCGATAGTGGTGGCGCTCCGGCCACTTGCCATCACAGATGGCGAAGCAGCTGAAAGAATCTGAACAGTGGTGATATACACTCCGGCTATGTATAGCTCTTTGCAGCGTGACTCTAGCGTTGACATCGACGTCGTGTGGGGTTGAACCCTTCAGCAACAGAATGTGTAGCATCTGCCGACGACCGGACATGTGCCATAAATCACGCGCAGAGCCTGCAAGGAAACTCTCCGCTAGCGCGACCTTGGACGCGATCCTCGGGCCTGTAGTTGGCTGGTTAGTGCAGGTCGAGGGAGTTCAGTGCCTTCGGGGCGTGGTGACCTGAAAGTTGTTGTATGCCGACACATGAGCAGGTCCTGAATTATGTGGTTGAGCTCCTCCAGCGATCGCTTTCGAATAAGACTCGCTGATAGGATCTCACAAGCGTTCCTGGTTGTCATCCGGTTCTTCGCAGTTGACCATCCCAAATGTTGGAAGCGTCGTAGGCACAACCGGCAGCATGTATATCAAGACTGCGACACTGCGACTCGTCGGCACCAGGACTGAGGGCGGCCAAGTCGTCGATCCATCATCCGGTTCCTCGGTGACTGCTGCTTGGGCGGTCATGGGATGCTCTCTTTTGCACCCAGCACCCGGTGCAAGTAGTGCCCGCTATGGTCTGTCCAGACGGCACTGGCAGCCCGGATGCTCCGATCCATCGCCTGAGCTCAGGTGCCGCCGTCGACCTTGGTGTATGCAGACGGCTCGCCCGTCACGGGGCCGGTGACAGTGCAGGCCTCAGGCATTCAGGACGGCCCGGATACGCCAAATGAAGTCGTAGACAGTCGTAGTAAGGCCGGATGGCCGGAACATGCCGGAACTTCCGCAGCCTAGACGGAAGCAGCAGGTGAGTCTTTCCGTCATTGACGCCACCGATCCCGCGAGCTTGGCTTCAATGCCAGGTACCGCTCCGAGCTTTCAAAGTCTGGGGGCCGACCAGAGTTTCAGAGGTTTGGGGCCCGGTGGGGAGCAGGGCGTAGTACTTCTCGGATATGGTGGGGAACGGCAAAGCACACCCCTTGGGCATGTGCGAAGAGGCTTGGAAACGTCGATGTTCAAATCTTGCAACGCCTCATCCATCTCAGTCGTGCCTTCACTTCATTGTGACCTGACAGACATACTTTGCGACACCAACCGCAGACCCACCAACATCACCACCACAGCAGCTTGATGATCACGAGGTGTCCGCACTACGCTCATACGTACACTCTCAGGGCTATGTATGGTGCTCTTACAATGGTTCATACCCAGGCAACGATGAGGTGCAAACTGACTAGCAAGGCTGCTTGATCCATTGGTCTCCTCACGGAAATGCAGCTTAGTGCCAGATGGTTTCAACACCAGCGCACGCGTAGCTTGTCATATGGGTTCACCAGAAACAGTTCGGAGCTTCACAGCGCGGCATATGCAGCCACTATCACCATGAACATGCTGAGTGTCTGACGTGAGGCGACTTCTCGGCGATAGGGGCAAATGGTGAAAGCGTGATGCTGGAGAGCCACTTTGCCGCAAGTTAATGATGTTTTCAGGAAGCTGTTAAGATTGCGATGCGGGCCATTGCACTCACAGTCGCCGTACAACCCTTCGATTCAAAGTAGGAAGTATGGACCACCGAATTACTCACCACGCATGCTCTTGGCATGCTTCCCAGATCAAAGGGCGCTGAGATACTGGTTGAATTCTTCCTTTGCAAAGTGGCAGATCGGTTTGAGGATGGGATAGCACTTCTTCTTTCTGGCGCACTTTCGAACTGATGCCAACTCGGGCAACTCTCCGCTCGTCCGAGCAGGGGGTCCCACGCACCGGCTTAAACGTGGATCGCCCAGACCGCATGAGGCCGCAGAAGGGGCGTCGCTCTGACTGCTCGGCTTATCTCTAAGTGTATAGAATGAGGCTTATAGGCTAGAGGCGAGCTGTCGCTGCTTTTATGGCTTTGTGCCTTGTGGCCTCGGTTGTAGATGCTGCTACAGTACTTGGATGAATTCCGTCGTCAACTCTCGTGCCTAGGTCGTCCGAGTCGTGAGAGTTGAGTTGCGAGGTCTTGGTGCTGCTTGGATTGGCGCCGTGGATTCCAAGGGCGAGGCCTTGGAGGTCAAGGAGGACTCGGAAGGCCCCGCGGGAGCCAAGGGAGGAGAAGCATGAAAGTTGTCAGAAGTGGTCACAGAGACCTTTATACCACGGCTGCTTTGCCTCCATTTCCTGGTGCGGCTGCTACTGCTGCTGCTGCTGCTGCTGCTGCTGCTACCACTGCTGCTGCTACTACTGCTGCTGCTGCTGCTGCTGCACTTGTTGCTGCTACTGCTTACTACTGCTGCTGCAACTGCTGCTACCACCACCACTACTGCTGCTGCTGCTACTGTTGCTACTACGACTATCACGACGACGACGACGACGACGACGACTACTACTACTACTACTACTACGACTGCCACTACCACTACCACTACCACTACCACAACCACCACCACTACCACTAACGCTGCCACTATCACTACTGCTACCATT